GCTTTCCTTTGAAGCATAAATTATCTTTTGTCTGATAGTAAGCGCACGCATAAGAAATGCTTGTGGATCTTCATTTGGTTGTTGTGTCATGTTTGTCAGTGCTTGATAAAGTTCCGTCGCATTTTTCTCATGAAAATGGAACCTTAGTATTTTGCGCAATTTAGGTAGGGTCAACCCACTCACACTTTCAAGATAACTTCTAAGTTGCATCCCCGGTTGCACAGCCCGAATAACAGCGGTCATAATTTCTTTGTCTGAATAGCCTTTATCTTTACCCGTCTCTATCTGAGACATCAAAGCTTGGTAGCCCAACTTATCTTTTTGGGAGGGTTGCCCAATAATACCTTGGATTTTGAAATCTCGATGGAGAATCGTAGAACTCAACCCAAACAAAGGTGATTTTGCTGATTCAGCAGAAATCTTAGTGGTACTTCCACTTTCATTTTCAGAAATTTTAGATTTCTTCGTATGCGACAGTTTATCTTCAATCGCCTTTCGTTTTATTTCGAGTTCCGACAATTCCTTCTCGAGATTTTGTATCTCAGTTTGTTCTTCCGATATTTTGGCCCCAGTTTCGCTTGTCTCGGGATTTAAGGCAGAAATTAACCCATCTAAATAGTTGACTTTATCGTCTTCCTCGGTAAAAGTACTTAAGTTTACTTCAAGTGCATTACGAATCTCTTTAATTATTTGTACCTTACTCTTTCCTTCTACCTTTGATTTATCAATCTTCAACGACAAGGCAAATTCGATCAGTTCGTTCTTCCCCAGAGACAGTACTTTGGTGTCCAAAATAATTTGTTTATCGTCGGCGGCCATAGCTCGTATTCAGTTTATAAAATTCGTCGCTACTCGCACGTTAAAACATCATCAAACAATACTTTAAACACTTCATCTTTCCACATAGGAATTCCCGCCTGAGCCCCCAATTTGTTACTTAAGTTTCCACACGGATTCGGTGTATTACTTGTATTTATTTCGTACGTTTTACTCGGTATTTTACAACGCTTTTCGATAACTCTCCAAACTAAATCAATACAACATGTGTTTTATATCCGGGCATTTTCCCGTTACGTCATACCATCAAGTTCCGGTATCTAATTTCCGGGTGCTAATTCCGGTGGGGTACACATTCAGTATACCTATTCGCCCAATGCCCGAGTTAACCCCGACGCTGAACTTGGGGCGAGCCTCGCTCCACGTTGGAAAAACTGGGTCGCAGACTTTGGCATGTTTCTCCTGGCTAATGTATGGTCAATACAACATACACTAATATAAAGAAATTTCAATCTATACAAAACTTTGCATGTAAAATAATCACAGGATCTAACTGAGAAATAGATCTTGAGTGGCTGACAGTGGACAAATTGCTTTATTTCCGTGATGACTTTCAAGTGTATGAATAACTTAGCACCGAAATATCTTTGTGATATGTTTGAGGAGCGATCTTCTATTCATAATCGCTCTACGCGGAACTGCGACTCAAAAGTCAGCTTAAAGACCACTTACTGTCTATTTACACTAGACTACTCTCTATTTAGACTACTAAAAACTTGGATACCAGTCGTTTTTTATTTTTATTTTAAAATTGTAGTTTTTAATACATAATTTTGTAAATGGGTTCTGAAAAACCCTTTTGGGAGAAGCCATTAATTTTAATAATAATAACATTATACTGTGTGGACATCGACTTGTCATCCCCCAAGCGTTACAACAACGCGCATCGACATCGCCCACGAGAAGCACCTGGGTCTAACTAAAACCAAAGCATTAATTCGCGAAAAACTCTGGTTCCTGAATATCGACGCCATGGTTAAAACAACTCTTGATCGTTGTTTAACTTGCCAAGCCCTTGGCCGACCCGGCCCACCAGCACCAATCACCCCCACCACCATGCCTGATGAACCTTGGCAAACTGTTCATGTCGACTTCTATGCTCCTCTACCCACTGGAGAATACCTTCTTGTCATTGTAGATGTGCCTCCACTGTGATACCAAAACTCGACAAGATCTTTGCGGTTCATGGCATTCCTACCCTTCTCAAAAGTGCCAATGGCTCCCCTTACAATGGCGAAGAATACCAACGCTGTCTAGCCGCCCTTGGAATAAAGGCAATCTTCTCTACTCCCAAATGGCCCCAAGGCAACGCTGAAGTAGAACGCTTCGTGCAACCCTTGGGAAAATCCCTGAAAGCTGCTAAACTTGACGGCCGTCCATGGAAACAAGAGCGGAGTCGTTTCCTGTTGCACTATCGCACCACACCGCATTGTACCACTGGTGTTCCACCCTCTGAACTGTTATTTAATTTCCTATTTTACAAAAACGCAATCTCGTTAACCGTCACAACGAGGCTCGGGAAAAGGAAGGTGAAAGACAACAATACAACAAACGTAACGCTGATGAAAAGAGAAACGTTAGAGAAAGCCTAATAAAAGTTGGCGACTACGTTTTGTGGAAGCAAGAGAGACGGAACAAACTCACCCCTAATTTCAATGAAACACCCACATTGTCATCTCGCGAAACAACAACACGGTGACAGCACGTAGTCAGACAGGACACACTATAACTCGCAATGTATCACACTTCAAGCCAATACCGAAGCCAAAGATTGATGTTCAAGTCGACGACGACGATGACAGTGAAACGTATGACGCGGAAAGGACCGAACGAGACAGAGTTGACACAAGCCCTGAGCCAAGACGATCGACAAGGAATGTCAGGCAACCAGAACGGTATGGCGAGGGAATTCCCTCGTCGGTAATTAGATAAAAAAGGGGAGTGATACAGTAATGACGTCAGGTCATTCACTCGGCACCAGGACTATACGGTCGGAACTAATTAAATATATAGACATAGGACATTTTGTGTAGAAGGAATTACACATTTACACACTTAGGGTACGTTTACACGCTGCGATTTGTCGGGCCGATTTTGCTCGCTGTATGTAAATAACCTGTCGTGAGTACTCGCGTCAGCACCTTGCGATTCACAAAATCGGGAGAAAAATCTGCAACAAAACACAGATTTTTCTCACGATTCAACGATTTTTCTTCCGTTGTAAAGTTGTTGAAAACCTTTCGCACGCAGAAAACTATAATATAAACAGACGAGAGAGCGGACAGCTTCAATTGAACGTTTAAATCGCTAAATGTCGAAGAAGGGCCATCGATTATTTACCAAAATCGGCCCGACAAATCGCAGCGTGTAAACGTAGCTTAAGACATATCGTTAAGTTATGCTAAATATATTCTACAGCACAAATATATACCTAGTACTTAGATATTTATACAGACATAATTATAGCAGCTATTTTGTATTATTTAATTATAGTAACTAGTTGCAAAATTTTTGTAACTAATTGTAACTTTGTAACTAGCAAGGCTGGATTTTGGTAGAAATGGTGAGGGAGGATGAAAAAATTTAGGGGAGGTGCAACAGTCTAGTTCATGACTCCCATGGGCAATTAGGGCTTAGAACCAACCCTCTCCCTAACATAACTATGTGACATATGTAACTAGTATGTACTGTACATATGTTTCACTGTATTTATAAATTATGACTGTATGACCCATCTGACTTTGCCCTTCATTCCAATACTACAAACTAAGTTTCTTGTGAAATATTACTTGCTCTAAGCAGTACTGTATAAAAATTTGTCAATTTTTCACTTTGATATATCATTTGACCTTTCATACGGGAAGGTACATGGCATTTCAAGAGAGGTACAAAAAATCTCAGGGGAAGTGCAAAACGATCTTAGGGGAGATGCACACAGGTCTCCCCTCACAATCTGGCCATGGTAACTAGTTACTGTATTCCATTGACTGTAACTTGTATCTTGTATCTGCAACTACTTTTAATTAGTTACTTTTCCGATGATCTACAGTAACTGTCAACTAGTTACAAAAATTAATATGTAACTTTTACAGCACTGATGTTAACAACAACCTACTTCAATTTGTAGTTTTCAGTCAGGAATGCTGGGTTTTCTTTCAGGCTCATTCTAGGGCAACGTGAGGGCCAGTTATGCAGGCTAATGTTAACACTGACAGTGCATTAATCAATTGAATACCTTCCAACTTCGTGAATTAAAAATGAGTGAGAATATGAGTAACATGAGATCGTGTCCCACTCATACCCAACAGCCCACCCATTAATCAAAGCCCCGCTAATATACAGTAATATTTCAGATATCAAGTCAAATAAATACAGTGATTTCCACAATTTAGACGTCTGTTTGAATGAATTACTTCAAACAGTCAACAGTCGGGCTTCAATCATAAAATTCATTAACAAAAATACTAGCGTTCTTAATATATTACAGTACTGTTCTAATATATTAGTGCTTTTATCTTCTGTCCTTTTGATCAAAACATTAAACAAATGGGATAAACTTAAGGTTACACAACACATTTTGCGGCTCTCAGTGCCCTTACTGCAAAATTAATAATAAATAAACTAAGGCCAGTTTCCACTACATCTGCTTTGCCCCCATGGGTGAAGTGGACAATATTAAGCATTTGGTTGTGTGTGCACGCTTTGAAAGTTGAAAATTTGCATGTGCACGCTTGTCACAAGCGGAGCTGCTCATGGTCACACCATAACCTTATGGCACTTGCTCATAGTGACCGCATTACCTGTGTGGGCAAAGCGGATGTAATTGAAAACCTCTTAGGGGAGGCTGCTTTGTAAATGCTTCATTCAATGCAGTGGACAATGCAACTTTGTGTCCACTAGACTACTTGACTAATGTCTTGCAGTTTTATTAAACATTGCTGCATGGTTTCAGTAAAATAACAAAGTAGGGCACATGCTGTAAATATTCCAAACTGCTGAAATGTTAATGGCAGAAACACAAAGTGTGGCTGCAAATTTTATGAAGGTGTGGCTATGCAGTAGCTTTGAGGCAACACTCAGAAAGTTGCGGGAGATCTCATGTGGCTGAGGAAACCAACCTTCCTTAGGCCTTTTAATAGCTTAATATGTGTTTAATTATGAGTTAACTGACATTTCCTGATATTTGAAGTGGCTTTGGTAAGGGTATAATATTAATACTGCAATTCAACATTGTCAAGGCATCATTTGCAATCAGCAAGAGTACTGAGATGAAAATAAATGGCTTTCTCATTTATACTTCTCACTTAGGGACCAGTCATAAAGTAAAAGGGGGGGGTCACTATTTTTGAGCATGGGGTGGGTCATCGAAAGTTAAGCGCAATCATAAGGGTGTGGGCCATGTAAAAATATGCAGAAGATTGGGCCCCAGTCATTTTTTTGTGTTAAAAATTTCAGCGCAAAGAACAAGATATCTGTTTTCTGCCAGGCTAAGTGCCAAAATTTGGTATGAAAAATTAAGATAAAGTCCTTGGAAAGGAATTGCAACGTACTCTTAAGGAAAATTTTTTTACCTAAAAAAGTTGTCAATGGGGGGGAAGTTCTTGTCCGAAAAAAATTTTTTTCCAGAAAAAATTGGAAGAGGGGTGGGTCATAATTTTTCGGCACCAATTTAAGGGTGGGCTACAAATTTCCGTGCAGCTATTAGCTTTAATGCATCAGTCAATTCCAGCTGCGACCATTCCCCCCAGGACAGTGTGGGGCATTTTTACGCTTACTTGTCCCCACGGTCAGGCATTTGCAGCTGCGTTTTCACCCGGGGGCCGGGCATTTGTCAATAACGGGTTATTACCCCCAGGCATTTGTCGCTCACAGAGAAAAGACCACGGCCACAAGTTTCCTTTGTCGTAAGCCAAAATGGACGGTTTTACCAGCAAAGACAAGAGCTTTGATGCGTCTTGGCTGACGAAAGAAGGCCTAGATAAATTATTAAGAATTTCCTTCAGTCCATATTATATAACTTTCTGCAATAAAAGCCAGCCTTTCGTCGATGTTTTCATTTGAAGTGAACACGATAATTTTCCTTGTTTTTTTAAAAAAAATCCCCAAAACAACAATGAACAGAGGTATAAATATAAATTGTTAAAATGCATGTAATTAATTTTGACTAATTTGTCGGTCCGGGGGTTGGGCATTTGTTTTGCTTTTTGTCCCATGGATGGGGCAACGTTCCTTCTTTTTTGCACTGGATGGTCTAATTTTCGGTAAACGCCTACGATTTCATAGCTAAAACTGTCACATACAGTGTAAATAAACGAAAGTTTACAAATACAGCTTCTTTCAACTTTATTCACCTGCTGTTTCGAGATCAGATATTGAAGCTACTCACCTTACATTTTCCCTCGACACTATCTTGCTTTTCACAATACGAAATTGGAGCTAAACCAGGCAAGTAAAAACCCTCTGTTGTATGGAGAAACAACAGGTAAAACATCCATGCAAAAGAAAGTTTCAATACCCTCATAATTGTTAAGTTTTGCTGAAATAAACCTTATATAAATAAAATTTTACAGAAAACAAGAACAACAAACAGTGCTCTCACAATCAAATTTTCGAATTCCTTAGAAAAAGCTAGAAAATTCCTCAGATTTCCTTAAAATTCCTTAAATTGGTAAAATTACTACAAGGCCTGATCACATAGTGCAAAAAGTGTTTTTTTTCAGAATTTTTCAGACTGAACGTTTTTTAAAACCGTATTTTTTGAAAATTTGAAGTCTCTAGACCGTCGGAAATGGCATTTTTAGAGTCTTTCCTACCCAATATTTTACTAGTATTGCCTAACAATGAATATAAGTATTGCTACTTTCAGTTTCATGGGAAATTGAGAAAATTTTGGAAGTTTGGAGTCTCCAGATCGTCAGAAAGGGTATTTCGCAATTGCCCCCTGCCACAACAAGTCTCAACGTCTTTAGTTTGTTTTATTGTTAACTGTAATTCAGATTATAGAGTTCACTTTTTTATGCCCTGAGAATTACCTGAATTTACCTGAAAATCTACAGGAAATCTACCTGAAATTGTTCATGAGCAATATTAGGGGTGCTGCACCCTCCCTCCCCCGGTCGCTACGGCCCTGCCAACTTAGAAAATATGTAGATTTCAGAAGAAACAGCGTACACTGACATTTAACTTTTGAGAATTTTAATGGAAAGACAGCCATATGTAGATTTTGTACGACATAGAGAACATACGAATATATGTAATTATGTGCATATAGTGTGTTTCAAGTTTAAATCTAATTTGCGTGGCGTGGTTATTCTCCGTCCAGGATAAAATGTTTCGGAAATTCCTTAAAAAAATCCTCAAAAACCTAAATTCCTTAAAAAAATCCTTAAAACTCTTCAAAATTCCTATTTTTAAGGATAATTCCTTAAAAGTGAGAGCACTGATGATGTGATACAGATTCATAGGCGTACGGGGCAGGGGGGCAGCTGCCCCCCCAAAAGATTACAAAGTCGAAAAGTCGGGCAAATGTTCAACATAAGTCGGGCGAAGAGTGGGAAATTAAAAAGCCAAAAAAGTAGTGAAAGCAATCAAATCTCTCTTAATAATAACCCCAGTTTGTTGGGCAAACAAAGCCAGTTGGGCAATATTTGGTTATTATAAAAATAAATGGGACAAATTCTGTCAATTTTGTGGGAAACTCTGTCAATTTTTAGATTTTTGGAAATTTTTTTTATGTTCCGAAAAATTTTTGTATGTCCGAAAAATTTTTTAACCCCTAAAATGGTACACTGACCGAAATTTTTCTGGCGACGTGGGGGGGGGGGAGGGGGTAGGTCGCCAAAATTAATTGTTCCGGAAAATAATTTTTCGGCACTGGTCGGGCACAATGCGAAAAAGTCGGCCAAATTTCTTTCCGCCCCCCTAATTTTTTCCTTCCGGTACGCCCATGTGCAGATTTGTACATTTCACTGTGTACTTTTAGTCAAGATCTACTACTGATGGCTACGTACTAATGGCTACGTACTAATTTCACGACGAATGGCTCGAAACGTCTTATACGCATGCATAAAATTAATTTGAAATCATGCAAAGAAAGTCGCGTTTGAACTAACAAAATGGGAGAAAATCCAGGTTTTGAAGATCTCGCGTTTGCCTACGCGTGCACCAAATTTCTTGAAACTTTGATAGCTTGTGCAAAACAGTCCCTATTTTGACTCTGTGTGATTATTAAATTTTGTTTCTGATGAAAAATGTTTTTGTAGAAGGCCTTTTTTGGGGGGTTTTTAGTAACAGCTTTCTTACTCTAAAAACCACAGGGAGCAGAGGAGTCGAGTTTGTCTAGTAAAACAAGACAAACACCGTCTTACCTTGTTAATAGTAATATATTTTATTGTCGAATCCATTGAAGTCCAATGTGTGCATTAAAAATGCATATTTTATAATTATAGTCTGTTGAAATTGTCGTGAAACCATGTAACATTGTATGATTGTATATTCGTACTTCATGTCAACATGAACACCAAATGAATATACTCCGCTGTTGTAGATTATTGTGGCCTCACATTTCGCTTAAATTAGACTGACAATAGAAAACGAAGAAAGGGAGTGAAACAATCATTGGGGTGATATTTTATAACTTGCTTAATATTTCATAAAAGAACACAATTTTTTGTATACAATCTAGAAATTATAACTACATTAGAAAACAAATTTCAATAAACGGTCTTTAAACCTACATATTCATCGATTAATTTCGTACGATGTGCACCGCAACACCCTATGACGGAAGTGACGTATTGTTTCGTGTTTATGCATGATTGATTCGAATTTGAATTGTTTCGATTATGAAAAACCAGACATTCCAACCACTGGAGGTAAAATTTAGGGAGACTGTTCAGTGAATCAGAAATCTAGTTCTTCTGGGAAAAAAGAATAAAAATTAAAGCCCCGTTTACACGACAGTTATTTTGGGCACGGCACGCTTAAATTTTGGCACGCAGACCCATTTTTTTGGGCACGGCACTCTTAATTTTTGTCGTGTAAACGCAAAATTAAGGGTCCGCGGGCCCAAAATTTTAAGCGGGCCGAGACCTCCTCAGGAGGTAGTCTCGGCCCGCTTAAAAATGGGTCCGCGGACCGAAAACTTGTTACGCACGCGTTTTGTTTCTCGCATTGCAAAAATATTGTGTCTGTACAAACAAAATATCGAGGGAAAATGCATGTGCATGGTCAGACTAAGCCATATACAAGATGACTAGGTGGTCATGCATAAAGAAGCTATATATATTCAACTGGTATTCGTATTCTTGCAACACTAAAGTCAAAGCGAAGAGAAAGAGAACTGTATTTAAGCAGTTTAACAGTTTAAGCAATGCTGATATATGTGATGGTGAAGATTATATTGTTATTTCATAATTAACAATCATTTGCCAAGGGCGAAGTGCTATCGAGTATCGGTCAACATTCACCATAATCATGCAATGTGCAAATGAGCCTGTAGCCTCGGCCGAATCATTGTTGTAGTAAAAATTAATTTTCAACGAAGTAAAACAGAATATCTAAATATCAGTTTAAGTATTCTGAAATTAATCTGTTGTCGCTGCTTGTCAGCTATAGTTAAGTTTATACGAGGTTACTGAATGTTTTAGTGTTGCCAATTAAAAGACGCAGTGTTTCTTGTTCGCACTGTGCACGCTTTCAAAATGGCATCCTATATTTTTATAATATGAATTTATTGCTTTATTACAAAGTTGTTTATCGCCATGAAGGTCAATGAAATATCATGATCTATATATAGCTTATATATAATGGCTTTACAAGCACCAACAAGTACATATTTTGCTAGGTTTATATGAGTTTATAAACTTACAGTTGAAGAAATACATGCATGCATGCATGGAATACACAAACTTTGTATTTTTTACGAAAATATTAATAATTGTCAGGAAATACTTCAATACAAATTTTCGAAAACTTAATCTCAATAAAAATATAGTTTCTGCTTATTTTACTCGGGAAAAAAATGAGAAAATTGGTAAAAATGAAATGTTAATTTAATGCTCGGAATATTAGTTTAATACACTTTTCGCTATACACCAAAAAGTTATGGCTGAATAGGTGTCATAGATCAGATATTTCATGTCAAATCAAAGTTTTGTTAAGAGTGCCGTTCCCAGTTTAAGCGTGCCGAACCCAAAATTTTTAGAACAAAAATTTTGTCGTGTAAACGCAACAGGCGGACCAAAAAGCATGGGTCCGCGTGCCAAAATTTAAGCGTGCCGTACCCAAAATGATTGTCGTGTAAACGGGGCTTAAGTCTTCTGAAATGGCGTTTCCTGCATTTTGGGACTATGTTGTTATAAGTGATCCTATAGATTGCCATAAAGCAACTTCAAAAAAGGTCAAGACAGACTATTATGTTGTTATAAACAGTATATTTATATAATTTTTTATGATATTTCCTGAATATTCTGAAAAATCGGGAGAATTTGATAAAAACCAGGAGACCGGGAGATTGCATGAATTTTCCGGAAACTTCCGGTAAAATCGGGAGAGTTGGAATGTCTGGAAAAACTAACATCAAGACTAATATGAAAATTCCATACAAATTTAAGGACTAAGCTATATGTAATATGAACAAAATAAGACAATTGACCACTTGCGTAATAGACAAAATTTTGATCTAAACAAGTTTAGACAAATATTCCATCACAGCTTGAAAGAGCATCGCAAAATTAGTAATATTCCAAACGTTGCGAAATGTTGTAAAATGCGGATAATATAGCCTTGCGAAGTTTGCCGTTTTTCAGTCATTTTGCATTACGGGGGGAAATTGACAGCCCAATACGCTTTGGGGCTGTCAATTTCCCGTTTGTAATACAAAATGACTGAAAAACGGCAAACTTCGCAAGGCTATATTATCCGCATTTTACAACATTTCGCAACGAAACTTTGGAATATTACTAATTTTGCGATGCTCTTTCAAGCTGTGATGGAATATTTGTCTAAACCTGTTTAGATCAAAATTTTGTCTATTACGCAAGTGGTCAATTGGTAAACGGTTAAAGTAAATATTTACTGAGGACTGCTAAATGAAATGCGTTTACTAAGTTAGATACAAAGATATGTTTGTCTCTGTTCGAAATTTTCAAACAAATGTCCTCGACTTCAACGATATTCATCGCATGCCATTTTAAATTAAATCTCACCATGTTTCAAATAATATTTTACATTTTCAAATAATATTTTACATTTACAGTTGTTTATTGTTTACGTGAATTTGAAATTCAAAATTCGATAACTAATTAAAACTGTCAAATGACGTTATAGGTCATAAGTCAATGGTCATTGCGTCTTCCTGTTTTATTCACTTCCGTCATATAGGGTGTTGCGGTGCACATGCGACGAAAGATCTGCAATGTGTCCTCCCTTTCTTCGTTTCGTATTCGTTGCCCTCTCGGCTAGTGTACATGTTCGTTGGCTTTTCGGAAAATACGAGTCTACGGTAATGCAAGGCAGCGGAGTGTATTAACACTCCGTCCCTTGCATTACCGTAGACTCGTATTATATTAAAATTATTAAAATACTTTAATATTGACATTTTTTTAAATTCATATTTTGGTAAATAGTTTCGTTTATATTCGATCATTTTGATGAATAAAAATGCATTTTTAATGCACACATTGGGATTCTACAATGAAATATACTACAATTGCAAGGTAACTAAGACGGCGTTTGTCTTGTTTTACTAGACAAACTCGACTCCTCTGCTCCCTGTGTAAAAACGCTAGCATTTTAAATAATTTTAGCGCTAGATGTACCAGAGAACGTTAAAGTACATAAATTATTAGTACAGCCTTATTAATAATTATCAATCAATAAATATATTAAAAAATTCAATGTATGTATTGATACTACATTTTTACTACATATAGTCATCAATATATATATATATATATATATATATATATATATATATATATATATATATATATATATATATATATATATATATATATATATATATATATATATATATATATATATATATATATATATATATACATTGACCAGGAAGGACACGAATATGAGGGAAGCAATATCAGCTGGGGAAAGACTGGCATTGACTTTACGATTCTTCGATACAGGAGAGTCCTATTCCAGCTTGCAATACCAATTAAGAATTTCGATATCATCTATTGCCCTCATGATTGTTCCAGAAGTATGCCAGGCTGTATTTGATGTCATGAAAGATTAATTTTTGCACTTTCCCTGAGAATAATGAAGAACGAGGTTGGCAATAGCTGCTGGATTTGAAGATGTATGGCAACTTCCACAGTGTTGATGCTGCTGATGGAAAACATGTTCGCATTACATTCTCGCAACAGTGGATCTGTTTTCTATAATTACAAGGGTTACTACTTACTACAGATTGTCTTAATGGCTGTAGTTGATGTAAATTATAACTTTATATATATTTGCTGATGTTGGATGCCAGGGTAGAATTAGTGATGGTGGAGTAATGAGGAATACCCTGTTCTGGTCTATGCTGGTCAACAGTAAACTTAATCTACCCAAACCCTTCCCTCTTACCTTCTTTGTTTCATCCTGACTCAAATGTTCCTATCCCATACTTCTAATTTGCTGGTGATGATGCTTTTCCTCTTGAGACAAATGTCATGAAGCCTTTTGCTTAACGCGGCCTTTCTGAGGAAAGACGTATTTTTAACTACAGGCTTTCTTGGGGGAGACCGGTTAGTGAAAATGTCTTTGGAATTTTGTCGAACAGGTTTAGAGTGTATTCTACTGTTCTTCCATTAAACCTGATAATGCTGTTAAGGTCATACTTCCATTAAACCTGATAATGCTGTTAAGGTCATACTTGCAACCTTGGCACTTCATAATTTTCTGAGGGCCAAACAGATACATACCCAAGGGGTCAGTCGATAATGAGGATCAACTTGGTAGAACGAGAGATGGCAGTTGGAGAATTGATGATGTGGCAAGCAACCTAGCAGCCTTTCCAAATTCCAGAAAAAGCCGATCGACCAGCTGTTAAGGCTGAGGAAATGCGAGAAATCCTTTGTGGACATTTTAATGGGTTTGACAATATGTATATGACTATAATTATGTAGTATCAATACATGCATTCAATTTTTAAATATATTTATTGATCGATAATTATTAAACATTTACATATTTAAAATCAATTATTAATAAAGAAAAATATTTATCTATTATATATAATATAAGTATAGTAATATCACAACATGCATATCCAGAAATTAGTGATTAAGTATCCGCACACGCTGAGGAGGTTTGTAAATCACAAAGGTTAGCCCGAGCAACTTTCCAAAAACCTCCTATAGTGAAGCTTGCAGGGACATTTAATCCTTAATATATGGAAATATTATTGTCATATTAGTTTGTAATACCATCATATGTTTACCAAGGTGATGTATATTCATCTGGGAATAAAAACATTGCAGCTGACTTTTTCACACATTTTAATGAGAGACAAATGAAACCGAAGTGATCATAGTATAATAGAAAATATATATAGTAAGCCAATTCATAATCAACATAGACTTGACTGCATGTTCTGCATGGCACAAATGGTGTAAGCATGCAGGGGAGGGGACTTATTAACCCCAATTTAAATGGGTTTTCCAAGGTGAAACTTGTTTTCAGGTTACTACATTGGTTACTATAGCTTTTAAAGACTGTCCTTCATAATACATATGCACGCCATTTACAAAACCTGGGACAGGATATAAATTTACGAAACGACAAAAGGGTCATTAAAATGCGTGTTTTATAAATAAATAGATGCAAATAATTTAAATCCTTACCCTCGAAGCCAAGCTTTTTGTTTTATTTTTTATTAGTTTTACAATAAGAAATTGAAGGCACAGACAACAGGTCGACTAATGAAGTCCCAAATTAAGTCCTGCCATACATAATAATACTACGCTATACTATGTTATACTATAGTCTATATACTATCTACTATTGTTCCCAGTGAACTGCGAAACGACCGTTTTTTTAGGCGCTTTGTCAGTGACAGTTTTGTCAATTATGATGGACATATTTGTGTACCTCGTGATCACAATTCGTTGCAAGTGGCGTGTGAAAAACTGCAAGTTTCAGTTAAATGGTTTCTAATTTTATTGTCCAATCAGATGCGTAGTTTTGAATTTTAAATCAAAACTACGCACCTGATTGGAGAATAAAGTTAGAAACCATTTAACTGTCAGAACTGTCAAACTGAAACTTGCAGTTTTTCACACGCCGCTTGCAACGAATTGTGATCACGAGGTAATTTACACAAATATGTCCTTCGTAATTAACAAAACTGTCACTGACAAAGCGCCTAAAGAAACGGTCGTTTCGCAGTTTACTGGGAACAATAGTATAACGGCTATAAAATTAACAAAATACATAGCTAGTTACATATTTACGATATTACACATAATTACATTCGTACAAAAACTCAGAACATGCACTTCTACGAACAACAAGACATAAAACAAGAACGACATTTAGAGCAAAACGTTTTCCATGTCCTTGGCCTATTAACACCAAAACATGCATTAACTTTTTGAGTGTAGTGATTATAGAGTTTACGTTTCAGTGACTGGATGGAGAGAGAGGATTTTATTTCTCCTGGCAGGCTGTTCCATAGTGGCACTATCCTATTGAAAAATAGGTTTGGGAAAGAAGATGTTCTGCAACGGTTTGGTCGGTATGAATCAGTATAGAGCTAAAGCGAGTGTGATGATTAGTAGAATTGTCTGGTATATAGTCTTCAAGTGTTAAGTCATAATAACCAGCTTTATATTTATAAAAAAAGTAATATCTTTTACTTCGAACCAGTATGAAATAGGCAGTAGATTAAATTGCTTTAAACGGTTGGTGTAAGATGAGGTGAAGTCTTCAGTCTTGAAGGATATAATTAGTCACTCGTCTTTGGACAATTTCTAGACAAAGAAGGACCCTAGATGTTGTTTGGGGTGCCCAAATTTCACTGCCATAACACAGGTGTGTACGAACAAGCGTCAAATAGAGAGAGCGTCGACAATTTATAAAAAATCAGTTAAATATGTGCAGTTACGTCGTAGAAATGCAAGCATGCGGTTTGCTTTGGAAACAATGTTGGAAATACGAGGTGACCATTTTAGACTATTCGTAATACGTATACCTCGATCCTTTTGAGTTGGTTTAAAAAGGATCTGACCGGAGTCTAAAAAGTAATCGGGAGCTCAATACAACGTTTCCGCGAAAATCTTATTCCAGAACATTTCTTCAAGTTGAACTTTAACTTCGAAGTAGAAGACCAAAGACACAGGGCTTGAAGATCTGATTGGAGGAGATTAGAGTCGTGTGGATTGTTTATGATTTTATAGCATTTACTGTCGTTGGCAAACATTGGTACTTTGATGTGTTTTGCTGCGTCAGGAAGGTCGTTAACGTAGATCAAGAAAAGCAATGGGCCAACAATGCTGCATTGAGGAACATCAGGTGTTATATCTAGGTAACTTGACGAGAAACCGTCAACTACCACGCGCTGTTTACGTCCAGACAGACAGTCAGAAAACCAGTCTAAGAGCGGTCCAGTAATACCGAATTGGGAGAGTTTAAAAATCAGTTTATCGTGAGATACCGAATCGAAAGCTTTGGAGAAATCTAAAATAGATAATGTCCATTTCTTTACCACAATCTAACGCCTTCCCAATGTTGTAAACAACGTCAAAAAGCTGAGTAATGCAAGATTTTTCCGAACGTAAGCCGTGTTGTTGGTCATGAAGAAAAGGTTTGGCAATATATAAGACTCGGTTATGGACCACATGCTCAAGAGCTTTAGACACGAGAGATAATAATGAAATTGGACGGTAATTACTGACAGTACGAGTTTTGTTGTTTTGGGGAACGGGAACGATGTTTGCATACTTCCAATATGCAGGAAACTTGCCGATAGCAATGGGTTTATTAAATAATGCAGGAAGAGACCAGTGGTGTAGTGGGGGGGGGGGGGG